AAAAATTTTTATTTGTATAAGGGAGCAAGTTTTATTTTGTAATAAGAGAATACAATTATTTATTTTACTAAATAGAATCTATGTAAATGAATAATATTTTAGTATATTATGTATTAGCAATTGAATCAATAAAGTTTATAAATTAATATAAAGCTTAACAGAGTTTGAAAATTTATGTACAATAATAATCTGAATTTCTGTTGCGAAATTTCAGTCAATTGTTCACGTTAACATGTATCAACAGATGGCGCCAATTTATTTGCTTACTCTTAAACTTCAGCATGGGTTTTACAAACGATAACTGAATACAAAATGTCATATTTATTATCATTTTTCTTCTTTTTTTGGCATTTTTTTTTCTTTTCCTGCCAAGTGGTCGTCATCCGGAACCAATGTATGTTCAGTGTTGTGTAAAAGTGAAGATTGTGTTTCTTTCACGCACCATAAACTAACTGGAAAATGCTATGCGTTCGTGTTTTACAATGGGACGTAAAGGGATTGTTTCACAATATCAAATTCCTTCGCCAAAAATTTAAAATAAATCAGTGATAGCAAAAAAATAAATCAGGAGGGTATTTTCCAAATTCGTTGCTTCTAGTCACGTGCCTAGAAAAAGTTTGCGAAAAAATGAAAGTATTCCTAAGGGCAATTTTTTAGAAAGATTGACAGAGGTTACGAGAGAATGTCAAGATACTTTAACACGCAAAAGTGATAAATTCTTTAGTAAACACGAGACATAAAAAAAATTCATTGTGAAGCTTAATAATTATTAAGTTAAAAAATGCATAATCATCGTGTAATGTCTAAAATCAGTAGGGGGAGTTAAGTAATGCCGGGGAACTTTTTAGCTCATCATAGCTAGACGATATACGCCCCACGTCTGTTTATGGCGAACTTTTGTAGCAATTAGACTTCCAATTAGCAAGAGGGGCGTGCTTTTAATTAGAGGAACAATCTAGTGAAGTTCCCACAGGACGTTGAGTTTCACTGTAACATTGCACTAATTACTCCTAGCAGTTTTTGTCGAACCGGGGATGAAGTAAGGGGATAGGAAAGAGCGAGAGATTGACTAATTAGTTCTAGAAATCTGAATGGTCGAAGAGTCCAGTTGGAGAGTAATTGGGTCTGACTGAAAGTTAATGATATAAAAGCTAAGAGGACAGTTGAAGATTGGGTTGATAATAATAATAATAATAAAAAATTTTATCCTAATTAATACATAAGAAGAATAAATCGTATATTGTTTAGTTTTCACCCACCAAATGATTACTATATTTTAACGTGTTACTATTGTTTTAGTATCTAATTAACGAACAAGAACTAACAGTTACATCTTAATAAACGTATAGCATCCATTATTTCATTGGACATTTTTTATGTATTTAGCCATTAACAATCTTGAGTTTTTTTCTATTGCTTTCGTCGTCAGAAAGAGATGAATTAGTGAATTGTATCGTTATAAACATAAAAGCTCATTTACATAAAACATTAATTACTTACACCGCATGATTGTGAAGCTATTTTTAAAAATTCTATAGAATAATTAATCCAATATAATATCTTCTATCGAATAAATTCTGTAGCGTGATAAGCTAAAATTGAGGTCGACAATATAGCCCATCAGGAATCGAAAGCCTCGCGGATAAATCCAATGCAATGATTCATACGTTATAATTCATTCTTATACATATGTTCAGCTAAAAAGCCATTTGGATGATCCTCCACACACAAAAAGTGTTTTGGTAATGGTGAATTGGTTACAGTTGATTTATTTTATCGCTTCGTTCTAGCAAAAATAAATTTTTCTAAATTATTTTAACAATTACGATGATGATGATCTTACTTTTTTTAGTTTAACAACTTATAAAATGTTTTATACATGCGCTTGATTATAAAACATTGTTCAAAAATAATAGAAAATATTTAAAAAATTTTAATTAAATACATTTTTAAATATTTTAATATCTTATTATTATTGAATAAATAAATAAATTAGAAATAGGGTTTTAAAAATGGTTAAATTGCTATAAATTATTTAGTTGCGCTAAATAGCAGCAAATTATTTAGTACATGCCAAATATACAGGTTTTTTTCTCCTTGGTTTTTTGTCATTTTATTTTGTAAAATAGTTATCAAATTACTAATTATATGTTTTAATAACAGTTAATAATTTAAGGATATAAAAAAATTAAGTTTGACGTGATAACTATATTTGGGTCATCTCTTCAAACTGGTTTCATACTATAAAAAAAGAATATGTTATAAAATGAGTTATAAAGCTTCGATCTGCGTTGTGAAAGGCACTTATGAGCTTACAAAATAACTTTTAAATTATAAAAATATTTAAGGATAGCATTTTTTTTATTGAAATTTGGTTTAAGATGATAATAATTATACATAATTATTATTTGTAATTAAATTTTTAGACGCTAGATGGCTCTGTGCAGAAATTACTTTTAGCATCATTCATGAATTAATTTTAACAATTTCCATTTAATTAAATCACGAAAATTAATAATTTTAATCAATAATTAGAATCGTGTGATGGTTGCGGTATATAAGCAGGAATAAAAGGTCAGATTAATGCATGATTTCTACAATAGATGGCGACGTCGTCGACTGGATTAATTTCATAATTGCCATTTTTCGAAGGAGAGTCAGCAGGTGCTTTTATGTTTACAATAGAAACATCTGTTAAAAATAAACATCTGCTAAAAAATCTATTTTAAATTTAATACGTGTAATAACTATAAAATCTGCTGGGAATAATGGGTGTGGGAAAATGCTCTAGATCCCGTCTCATATTTCGTTCTTCGGTTAGTAAAAGTTAATCTTCCTCTGGGTATGGATTTATTGGCAGTCATGGAACGAAGAGCTTAACTCGTCCATAGACATTGTTTGGTTTCTCAGACCTTCCAACTGTTAAAAAGTTGCGTAAATAAGTTTAAAAAAAAAAATCTGTTTCAATATCACCTTACCATGTTTATCACAGTTTAAATTTTTAAGCATTTAATCCTTCTAAACAAAATTGTCAAAAATCTTTCATAAAAGTCCATTTGTTAAATCTTACTAATGCCTCTATATAAATTTTTAAGATCAGTTTAATGGATTCATATTTACAGGATGGGTAGTTTTTGTGCGCTTATGAATATGAATCATAAACCGAGTTTGGACCGTGTTGTTTTTATGAAATTGGTGAAAAAGTGAAAAAATACGATTAAATTTCTCTTTTATAGTGGTCAACTGACTTTTGGGCTATCCTGTATAATGTATAATACAATGAATTTTTTATGTCTTCGTTTGATTCTTACAGAAGTCTGTAATATGGAAATTTTAACGGTATCGTTAATAATGTTACTGTTTTGAACAGGATTTTAGATCAGTTTGGTTTTCTCCAAAACGAGCTAGGATCCAATTTAAAATAGCAACAGTATCTTAAAATAGTTTGAAAATTTTAATTTTCTAAATAATAATTTTATGTAGAATGTCGTGGGAATAGTTTATTTACGTATGAACCATTACTTTTCGAAAGGTTTTAAAAAGATCAACGATTGGAATCAATATTGCAATAGAAAAACATAATCGTCACGGCGTAATCACAGAAGAGTCCTTTGACTTTTTTAAAGGGTTTAATGAGTAACAATCAACTTTGGTGTGTCTAATTGAGGGAAACATCACCGTCCGGATCTGCTAACCCCCATACCCATGCTAGATTACAAATAGGTAATTTATACAGATAATAAATTACAGAATACGGTAATAAGAAGGCATTTCCAATTACCTAATCCCATAAAAGTGTAAAGACTTATAAACTTTATATTGAACGAATTCAAGAAAAGACGTGTTAAACATAAAGAAAGAAGAGGTTATTGCAAGACATTCTTAACGGTTTGCCGTTAATTTAGATGCTAGAGCGATACGAAAAGGAGAAGAGACCAGGGGCGCTACCCCGTTAAGGTCTGTGCTTCATTAGGCACATTGTTCAATTACTCCACTGTAACAATTTCCTTAATAACGGCTTCGTCAATAGATAAATTTCAATTTATCTAATGGTGTAAAGGTTTTAATGAAATGACCGTCGTCAGAGTAGAATAGGAGCAAAGGGGGAGGGAAAAGGATTCTTTATTCCTTTTTCTTTTCTCCCCCTCACAGTTCGTAATTAAAGGTTGAGAACAAATACGATCTCTTCTCCGTACCAAATTTAATTATTAGAGAGAAACGTTCGAATTGACACTTGGGAGATAAAGTTTAACTTGAAAACGTTGATAATCTAGACCAGGGCTGATCTAGGATGGAATAAGTATCACGGGGATTCCAGCTCCCCTCCTCTTACTAATACTGCAGATAGGATAATTATATTGGGATTGTTTCTTTTTTATTTTACGCGGGATTAAATAATTTAAATCGATCTTGTTTTCCTCTCTTAACTAACCATTCTGGGATTTATCAATGAACAAATAAGAAAGACATATTTAAAAGTAGGTTAGATCGCAGGTTGGTTATAAATTTTGGCATATGTCGTAAAAAGAATTTGATAAGAGGAATCAAATCAAGATCGATCGCAATTTTTATGGCGATAGAAGATAATCGCGTTACCATCGAAAAAGATGGAAAAATATTTAAGAAAAAGTAGAAGTAGGGTTCTTTTTACAGAAAAACATATGTATTCCATTCTTGTTTTTAGTGCAAATAATCTGTAAATCTTTTAAACAGGATATAAAAAGGAAATCCTAATAATATTTGGGGCTAATCCATTTATTCCCGAAGATGGGGGAAAAATATTCAATGATCCTTTCAAATAGATCGGCTACAAAAATAATAATAAATTTTATATATTTTTGAACATCTCCAGCACATCAAACCGCACAAAAAGAGTAAATTAACCGCACGAAAGAAAGAAAGAAAAATATTTCTAAATAAAGAAATTGTGCGCCATTTTAAAAACCGCTCGATCACGTGATCTGACATCGCCGCGTCTCGCACGTCATCGCTCACGTGACTCGGTGACGTCTAGCGCGGTGAGTTGTGGGAAGGTCGGTTGGACGCCGCACTCGGCGCTCAGCTGGCGATCGGTTCGAACGTTTTGTTTCTGTTTACCTACCGAATTGCATTTGTAACGTAAGTTGCCGCACTTCTCGACATTAGCCGACGAAGATGTACTGATCGGAAGGTTCCGTATTAAGGTAAGACCGTCTTTTATTGCTTATTGAGTTAGATATTGTGTAATTTGTGGATGGTGTTATGTGTTTAGGCTTAGGCGGAAACAAGAGTGTCGAAATGTTCGTCTGCGGGCAAATACGGTGAACGCTACCGGAAAATCGCTACCTTTTTAACTACAAAAAGTGTGGAAATTCGTCGAATATTTCCCGTAGAAAAACACGAAATCGTCCCGTAGGAGGGATGTGAAGACGTAAATGTACGGTAACGAAATTCGTTTACTTTAAATTACGCTGCGGAGTTTTTATCGGAAGAAAGGAGGTGGACTTGACTCAATTAAAAAGTAGGAAAAGTTTATTTGGAGTGGATGAGAAATTAGGCACGTGCGTGGAAATATGCCGATATTATCATTAATTACGGGTCGGGCGGTTTATTAGTTGCGCCGTTTTCTGCCTTCCATCTTTATGCCAGCTGTTCGTAATTTGGCATCGGACGGATTGGGTTTGTTTCATTCTGTGTCTGGTCTCGGCAGGTCGATGTTAAACGTATTCAAGTTTTCTGCTCACGCATCGTCTTTACGTCCTCTTTTCTTGCAACGACCTAACCTCAAACTGCTTTAGTTCTTTTTTTACCTCCACTTCTCGCTATCGTAATAAAGAGGATGCAAAGTAGTAGCGCCAGCCGGAAGGGTTGTTTCGGGCTTTGGCTCTTCAGGTGAGAGAAGAGCCGCGGCGCAGTGTTTTCAGCTGCGAGCCACCCGTTGTTTTATAAGCCAATAAAACAAGACTGGTACATCCATTTCGCTAGCACCATCCCCTTTTCCATTTACGCCCTTCCCCGCTGACGACGATAAAACAAGTCGCATTTGCGCTCCTCGATGTCGTCCTTTTCGTAATGGAGAGAAAGACGTTGATGGGAAACGAACGCCGGTGAGGTGGGGAAGGCAAAAAAAAAAGAAGAGATTTGTACGGCGAAGGCTTTTAGCAAGCCAGTTGTGCCAGCTTTAATGACACCTTGGCGGTAAGTGGTAGGCTAAACGCGGACCCGGTTCGATCCTACTAGGTAAGAGCCTCTGGCAGAACATTACGGTGTGATGGCCTCTTTATCTTATTACCCGAAAAGGGACGCATTAACGAACGCCACCCGTGCTTTTAGACCCACTTTCACCTTCAACCTCCAGGGAAAACGGTAAAGGCCCGGGTGGCGCGCGCGCGTGAGGAAACCGCGCTTCCATCAGTTATCTTTTTTCGCTTTTTCTCCATACCGGGTCGGATGTTTTATCCATAACATTTTCTCGGACTTTTCCCCTCATGTAACATTACACTCCCTAGCGAGTTCGAATCCTTTTACCATTTGTATTTGCGAATTGCAAAATAGTGTATTCCCTACTCTGGGATTGCCGGTGTTATTCTGTTCCGCACACGTTGGTTTCTTATAATAGGATTCCGCAACGACCGGGATAATATGGCACGGGCTGATAGTTTGTGTAACGATGTGCCAAAAACGTGCATTAAGGAAAATTAAGATGCATAGATGATGCATCGGTGAATAGACTGCGCCGCTAGATAATTGAAGTGCGGATGGTTACATTTTGTGCTGCACTCGATTAAAATCTCGCTATGTTTTCTATAGCGATTAATTAAATGCGCTGCCGAAGGGAGGGTTGTAACACTTGAGTCACTCTCCTCACTTCTGGACGTGACAGGAGCCGTCCGTCAGGTCATCCTGTTATTTACTTTCTGCTGGGAGGAGGACTAGATCCAGTCAGAGTGGCGGACGAGATAACGATAGTCACACGAGACCAACGATTCATTGAAGGGGATGAGATTCGAAAACAGTCATTCGCTTCAATCCCCTCTTCACTGCTAGGTTTCGGCGCTTTGTAAGCGTGTTCGGCGCATTCTCCGGCAAAAACCTTATTACCCCCCTCAGCCCTGTTTGTCCCGTTCTCAATAAGCCCTTCCCGTTTCTCCCGTTCGTGATAGCTTTACGGTTCGCTAGACCGAGCTGCGATGCAAGAGAAGAGAGAGAGAGGGGGATAAGCGGCGAGACGTATAATGGACGTCCGAAGTGGCCGAGGCATTATTTTTCCATTGGTCGGAAACGCGACAGCAACTCAATTTACGGTGAGACTGTATATAACCCGAAATAATCCTCCTCCTTCGGACTGGACATAAATCGCTCGGATTTTCTTGTCCCGCTCTCTGCCTGCCTTTTACCTTCATCGATCGATTGCACTTGGAAAGATCTCTCTCCCGTTTTTCCACGTCTCCTTTCTCCGCCAATATTCCGTCCCGACAACTCACTAAAGTCCGAACGAGCGCAACGCGTTTACCTACATTGATTTCGCATCCCGTTTGAAGCGGCGCTAGACGTCACGCTATTTCTCTCCAAAAAACATTCTTCCACAACTAATTTACATTAAATGTTATATAGGATATTTAAGTGTTCCTTCTTTTTTTTCCAATAGCTAACACTACTAAAAACCGAAACACATTCCGGCACTTAATTCTCTTTCAAACATTAAATTTTAAGTTTAAAAATTATTTTTTGATACCATACAATCGATATTAGCCGAATTCTCTATTCGGCTTCGCTCCAAATCTATCGAATTCACCCGATATATCATCCGCGCGGAATGAAATGTTCGTTTGTACCCTTTTCATTACAGAACTTTGCTATATGGAAGTTTCGTGTCATTTATCCACTCGTGCCCTCTCATCTGACAGGATTCTCATTTGCCTGTAAAATCCTCCATTCTCGTCCACCTGGTAATGACCGCTTATCTTCCATGACATCGCTCGTAGATGGTGCACTAGAAGCTAAATCCTCATCGATGGATACAGTAATCCCATCCCCATCACATGACTAATCCCGATGTTTACACCAGCTGCTACGAACAGGTGACGGTGTTAGCGCGAGACCTGTCATATCCACAAACAGTCTCACCGAGAACCATCACTTTCATAATGGTCGGGGCGCTTTACACCATCGTTGTAAGTGTGCGCCATATCAAGTTTTGTCAGGGGAACAACTTATTACTAATCTCCTGTAATTTTCTCTTACTTTGCTCGATTCCTTTTTCCCGTTCGAAATACATCGGTTATAAAAAAAATAGAGAAAAAGAATATTTTAGAAGATCCAAAGAAGAAAAGGTTACTGTTAAAAGAGAACGAGAATGAAAAATGTGTGGTTTATATATAAAATACATTATTATTTTTAATTAATACCAACTACTATAAAGTATACGAATGTACTGTACAATATAATGGTAATTTTAACAATGAATATACTACTGTGAAGTATAGAATATTGTATAATGCCTTAATTCATATGTATGTCGTTTAGTTGTCTATCCGTTGATTTAGGGAGGGAGAAATATATTAAGTCTAGGAAAATGAAATCCATCAGTTAAGCTTTCCAAATGAATTATACTAATTTTGCAGAATTAGATTTTATAATATGTAAATCCAAGCGTATTCAGATTTCTGGACGAAAGTTTTTGGCATATAATTATTAATTGCGCCATATTAATTGCAGGAAACAAAAAAAAAGTTTCGTCACGTAGTAGTAAAACATACTCTAAATTGCCTTGTCTCTTTAAGGAAATGTATGTAAACTATTTTTGGAAAATATAAATTACGATAAAATCTTTCTTTTCTGTAAAAAAAAAGAGGGAAAACATGAAGGAAAAAATTATTTTAAATAGCAAAGATCACGCAAATTACTAAGGAATGCAACATGAAATGGAAATTGAATTACTTCCTTGAAATTTGATTTCAAAATTTAATACATAAACTTTTGTTTCATAAAAGATTAAAAATACTTTCTTGTATTTTTAAATAATAAAAATATAATTAAATATTATTAAACGTATTTTATTTTCTTCCTTTTAACATTTTGACGTTTAAATAAAATTTTAGCTATTTTTTTTTAAAGAAAAAATAAATAAATCCGAAAGGGAATGCTTATTATAAGAACAATTGAAGCAGTGATTTTGGTGAGCAAAATTGAATTGTCCACGTGGAAAAAACGGAAATGGAGCAATAATTACTTGACTAAAGTCCGAGGAAAAAATATCTAGGATCCAATTAAGAACAAATTTAATTGACAATTCAGAAATTCAGATAAAAGACTAATGAACAGGAAGAACATGAAGTTGTAAGAATGACTTTCCCAGTTACCTAATAAAAATAAAAAATGCTATTCATGTAATTGTCAGTTTTGAATTCATGTAACACACCTTTATTTATTTATTTATTTATTATCGAAGTAAGTTGTTTATGATTTCATCTACGCCTACTCTTATGCAATTGTATTTATTGGCATTTTTCTTTCCTTTTCCAGTTAAAATATATATATATATATATATATTTTATTATCAGATTCTTTCATTCATAATCGATATAACGACGTCACTTCCGTGGTATTTTTCTTCTTCTATTTTTAATCCATTCACTTAAAGAATTTGGCGAATCATAAAATGTGCTCTTCTCGACCACATTCTTGCTANTTGTTAACACAATTTAATGAAATGCTTGTTAACACAAAACACACTATTATGGATGATGATATTTTTCAATTGAAGAAATTATTAAACATACAACTACAGTACACTAAAATAATTGCTAATGTTTCTGATCTGTTTGTGAAGTTGGTCTATTTTTGTGCTGTTGAAATGTGGAATATTGATACTGTATATTTTATAAAAACCACCAAATGGTCTGTTCATAAAATATATATGGTTTTTAGAGGAATGGCTTTTTACAACTCACTTCTTTAAAGGTCACTCTGAACTGAATGGAAATGCTAGCAAAGATATTTGTACAGTTACAGGTTTTAAGAAAATTTTGTTTTATTGAAAAATATATGTCAGTAATTTATAAAATTATAATATTTTATGATAATGATCATTAAAACAACTGACAAGAAATTCAAGAATGATTAACCTTAATTCAAAAATCATTTAATCAGTTCACAATATTTTAAAATAAACTCTCTTCATTTTCAGAAAATGGGTAAAAACTGAAAATAGTTTGATAATTTTGTAATTAAGAAACATCTAGTTAGCACAGAAAGCAGCATATCAGTCTTTTATTTTAGTCACTTTAGTACTGAATCTTATTGAAATATTGTTTTTTTAAAAATAAATTATGGCAAGTTTTCTCTCTTTTTTTAATAGCTATAATTTGAATGTTTAAAATCAAATACTGAATATATTTATAATTAAATTATTTATATGTAATAAATTATTGTGACATCATCACAATGCTGGGCTGCAATTTTTAATTATATTTTTTAATTTAAAGTATATGCTCTCCACCTTCAAATTGGTAGTGTCTTGCCCCTGTACATCAAACTTTTCCTTTAGCAATCGAGTTGTGACGGTCATCTACCTAATTCCTTTCAGGGGAAATTTTTTAATTGAAATAATATGACTTCTGGTTTGCATATAGTTAATCAGGGCCTCCTGCACTTAAGCTTTCTACATCTGATCTCAGCTTTCATCTATCGAACTCCGTTCTCAAGATTAAGGAAGGACAGACAAATGGATGACTGTGGGAATTTACACAATTTTTAAAATTGCAGCCCAATAATTAATATATTTGTTTAGGATTTTGTGTGCAGTATCCATATTGCTTTGAATTTAAACAGATTTTATGAAAAACGTTGAATGATAATTATAAGTAAATGCAATTTAAAAGAATTTATTAAAGAATAAAAATGTATGTATTTCAAATAAAATATAGTTTAAAAATATATAAAATAAACAAGAAATATAAAACTTTTTACTCCTGAATATCCCCAATTTAAGAAGTACTGTACCATAATGCTGTTTGAAAATAACTAAATAAGTGTCTTAAAACGGAAGCAATATGTCATAAAGCTTTTCATACTACTGTTTTTAATATAACAGAATTTTATTTTTTTCTAGCCTGTTATGGAAAGATGTTTGGACCAAAAGGATATGGCTATGGCCAAGGAGCAGGAACACTGCAAATGTCATAAGATATAATATTTTTCAATTTTGCCTATTTGCTAATTTTGAATAATTCTAATTCCATACAGTGCCATTTTTTTGTATTATTTTAAGATGTCTCAGGTAATTATGGGACCAATTAACATTTTTTATTATTATTGGCAGCTAAAACTTATAGTAAGAAATTTATATATTTGTGAAACTTGATTTATGAAAGTTCTTTTATGAATTCAGTAAAACTCATGAATTTAAAGAAAATAAAACTAAGAAATGTTAACTAACTGTAGAAAGTATTCATTAAATATTTATAAACTATGTGTTAAGGAAAAAATTTTTATTTGTATAAGGGAGCAAGTTTTATTTTGTAATAAGAGAATACAATTATTTATTTTACTAAATAGAATCTATGTAAATGAATAATATTTTAGTATATTATGTATTAGCAATTGAATCAATAAAGTTTATAAATTAATATAAAGCTTAACAGAGTTTGAAAATTTATGTACAATAATAATCTGAATTTCTGTTGCGAAATTTCAGTCAATTGTTCACGTTAACATGTATCAACAGATGGCGCCAATTTATTTGCTTACTCTTAAACTTCAGCATGGGTTTTACAAACGATAACTGAATACAAAATGTCATATTTATTATCATTTTTCTTCTTTTTTTGGCATTTTTTTTTCTTTTCCTGCCAAGTGGTCGTCATCCGGAACCAATGTATGTTCAGTGTTGTGTAAAAGTGAAGATTGTGTTTCTTTCACGCACCATAAACTAACTGGAAAATGCTATGCGTTCGTGTTTTACAATGGGACGTAAAGGGATTGTTTCACAATATCAAATTCCTTCGCCAAAAATTTAAAATAAATCAGTGATAGCAAAAAAATAAATCAGGAGGGTATTTTCCAAATTCGTTGCTTCTAGTCACGTGCCTAGAAAAAGTTTGCGAAAAAATGAAAGTATTCCTAAGGGCAATTTTTTAGAAAGATTGACAGAGGTTACGAGAGAATGTCAAGATACTTTAACACGCAAAAGTGATAAATTCTTTAGTAAACACGAGACATAAAAAAAATTCATTGTGAAGCTTAATAATTATTAAGTTAAAAAATGCATAATCATCGTGTAATGTCTAAAATCAGTAGGGGGAGTTAAGTAATGCCGGGGAACTTTTTAGCTCATCATAGCTAGACGATATACGCCCCACGTCTGTTTATGGCGAACTTTTGTAGCAATTAGACTTCCAATTAGCAAGAGGGGCGTGCTTTTAATTAGAGGAACAATCTAGTGAAGTTCCCACAGGACGTTGAGTTTCACTGTAACATTGCACTAATTACTCCTAGCAGTTTTTGTCGAACCGGGGATGAAGTAAGGGGATAGGAAAGAGCGAGAGATTGACTAATTAGTTCTAGAAATCTGAATGGTCGAAGAGTCCAGTTGGAGAGTAATTGGGTCTGACTGAAAGTTAATGATATAAAAGCTAAGAGGACAGTTGAAGATTGGGTTGATAATAATAATAATAATAAAAAATTTTATCCTAATTAATACATAAGAAGAATAAATCGTATATTGTTTAGTTTTCACCCACCAAATGATTACTATATTTTAACGTGTTACTATTGTTTTAGTATCTAATTAACGAACAAGAACTAACAGTTACATCTTAATAAACGTATAGCATCCATTATTTCATTGGACATTTTTTATGTATTTAGCCATTAACAATCTTGAGTTTTTTTCTATTGCTTTCGTCGTCAGAAAGAGATGAATTAGTGAATTGTATCGTTATAAACATAAAAGCTCATTTACATAAAACATTAATTACTTACACCGCATGATTGTGAAGCTATTTTTAAAAATTCTATAGAATAATTAATCCAATATAATATCTTCTATCGAATAAATTCTGTAGCGTGATAAGCTAAAATTGAGGTCGACAATATAGCCCATCAGGAATCGAAAGCCTCGCGGATAAATCCAATGCAATGATTCATACGTTATAATTCATTCTTATACATATGTTCAGCTAAAAAGCCATTTGGATGATCCTCCACACACAAAAAGTGTTTTGGTAATGGTGAATTGGTTACAGTTGATTTATTTTATCGCTTCGTTCTAGCAAAAATAAATTTTTCTAAATTATTTTAACAATTACGATGATGATGATCTTACTTTTTTTAGTTTAACAACTTATAAAATGTTTTATACATGCGCTTGATTATAAAACATTGTTCAAAAATAATAGAAAATATTTAAAAAATTTTAATTAAATACATTTTTAAATATTTTAATATCTTATTATTATTGAATAAATAAATAAATTAGAAATAGGGTTTTAAAAATGGTTAAATTGCTATAAATTATTTAGTTGCGCTAAATAGCAGCAAATTATTTAGTACATGCCAAATATACAGGTTTTTTTCTCCTTGGTTTTTTGTCATTTTATTTTGTAAAATAGTTATCAAATTACTAATTATATGTTTTAATAACAGTTAATAATTTAAGGATATAAAAAAATTAAGTTTGACGTGATAACTATATTTGGGTCATCTCTTCAAACTGGTTTCATACTATAAAAAAAGAATATGTTATAAAATGAGTTATAAAGCTTCGATCTGCGTTGTGAAAGGCACTTATGAGCTTACAAAATAACTTTTAAATTATAAAAATATTTAAGGATAGCATTTTTTTTATTGAAATTTGGTTTAAGATGATAATAATTATACATAATTATTATTTGTAATTAAATTTTTAGACGCTAGATGGCTCTGTGCAGAAATTACTTTTAGCATCATTCATGAATTAATTTTAACAATTTCCATTTAATTAAATCACGAAAATTAATAATTTTAATCAATAATTAGAATCGTGTGATGGTTGCGGTATATAAGCAGGAATAAAAGGTCAGATTAATGCATGATTTCTACAATAGATGGCGACGTCGTCGACTGGATTAATTTCATAATTGCCATTTTTCGAAGGAGAGTCAGCAGGTGCTTTTATGTTTACAATAGAAACATCTGTTAAAAATAAACATCTGCTAAAAAATCTATTTTAAATTTAATACGTGTAATAACTATAAAATCTGCTGGGAATAATGGGTGTGGGAAAATGCTCTAGATCCCGTCTCATATTTCGTTCTTCGGTTAGTAAAAGTTAATCTTCCTCTGGGTATGGATTTATTGGCAGTCATGGAACGAAGAGCTTAACTCGTCCATAGACATTGTTTGGTTTCTCAGACCTTCCAACTGTTAAAAAGTTGCGTAAATAAGTTTAAAAAAAAAAATCTGTTTCAATATCACCTTACCATGTTTATCACAGTTTAAATTTTTAAGCATTTAATCCTTCTAAACAAAATTGTCAAAAATCTTTCATAAAAGTCCATTTGTTAAATCTTACTAATGCCTCTATATAAATTTTTAAGATCAGTTTAATGGATTCATATTTACAGGATGGGTAGTTTTTGTGCGCTTATGAATATGAATCATAAACCGAGTTTGGACCGTGTTGTTTTTATGAAATTGGTGAAAAAGTGAAAAAATACGATTAAATTTCTCTTTTATAGTGGTCAACTGACTTTTGGGCTATCCTGTATAATGTATAATACAATGAATTTTTTATGTCTTCGTTTGATTCTTACAGAAGTCTGTAATATGGAAATTTTAACGGTATCGTTAATAATGTTACTGTTTTGAACAGGATTTTAGATCAGTTTGGTTTTCTCCAAAACGAGCTAGGATCCAATTTAAAATAGCAACAGTATCTTAAAATAGTTTGAAAATTTTAATTTTCTAAATAATAATTTTATGTAGAATGTCGTGGGAATAGTTTATTTACGTATGAACCATTACTTTTCGAAAGGTTTTAAAAAGATCAACGATTGGAATCAATATTGCAATAGAAAAACATAATCGTCACGGCGTAATCACAGAAGAGTCCTTTGACTTTTTTAAAGGGTTTAATGAGTAACAATCAACTTTGGTGTGTCTAATTGAGGGAAACATCACCGTCCGGATCTGCTAACCCCCATACCCATGCTAGATTACAAATAGGTAATTTATACAGATAATAAATTACAGAATACGGTAATAAGAAGGCATTTCCAATTACCTAATCCCATAAAAGTGTAAAGACTTATAAACTTTATATTGAACGAATTCAAGAAAAGACGTGTTAAACATAAAGAAAGAAGAGGTTATTGCAAGACATTCTTAACGGTTTGCCGTTAATTTAGATGCTAGAGCGATACGAAAAGGAGAAGAGACCAGGGGCGCTACCCCGTTAAGGTCTGTGCTTCATTAGGCACATTGTTCAATTACTCCACTGTAACAATTTCCTTAATAACGGCTTCGTCAATAGATAAATTTCAATTTATCTAATGGTGTAAAGGTTTTAATGAAATGACCGTCGTCAGAGTAGAATAGGAGCAAAGGGGGAGGGAAAAGGATTCTTTATTCCTTTTTCTTTTCTCCCCCTCACAGTTCGTAATTAAAGGTTGAGAACAAATACGATCTCTTCTCCGTACCAAATTTAATTATTAGAGAGAAACGTTCGAATTGACACTTGGGAGATAAAGTTTAACTTGAAAACGTTGATAATCTAGACCAGGGCTGATCTAGGATGGAATAAGTATCACGGGGATTCCAGCTCCCCTCCTCTTACTAATACTGCAGATAGGATAATTATATTGGGATTGTTTCTTTTTTATTTTACGCGGGATTAAATAATTTAAATCGATCTTGTTTTCCTCTCTTAACTAACCATTCTGGGATTTATCAATGAACAAATAAGAAAGACATATTTAAAAGTAGGTTAGATCGCAGGTTGGTTATAAATTTTGGCATATGTCGTAAAAAGAATTTGATAAGAGGAATCAAATCAAGATCGATCGCAATTTTTATGGCGATAGAAGATAATCGCGTTACCATCGAAAAAGATGGAAAAATATTTAAGAAAAAGTAGAAGTAGGGTTCTTTTTACAGAAAAACATATGTATTCCATTCTTGTTTTTAGTGCAAATAATCTGTAAATCTTTTAAACAGGATATAAAAAGGAAATCCTAATAATATTTGGGGCTAATCCATTTATTCCCGAAGATGGGGGAAAAATATTCAATGATCCTTTCAAATAGATCGGCTACAAAAATAATAATAAATTTTATATATTTTTGAACATCTCCAGCACATCAAACCGCACAAAAAGAGTAAATTAACCGCACGAAAGAAAGAAAGAAAAATATTTCTAAATAAAGAAATTGTGCGCCATTTTAAAAACCGCTCGATCACGTGATCTGACATCGCCGCGTCTCGCACGTCATCGCTCACGTGACTCGGTGACGTCTAGCGCGGTGAGTTGTGGGAAGGTCGGTTGGACGCCGCACTCGGCGCTCAGCTGGCGATCGGTTCGAACGTTTTGTTTCTGTTTACCTACCGAATTGCATTTGTAACGTAAGTTGCCGCACTTCTCGACATTAGCCGACGAAGATGTACTGATCGGAAGGTTCCGTATTAAGGTAAGACCGTCTTTTATTGCTTATTGAGTTAGATATTGTGTAATTTGTGGATGGTGTTATGTGTTTAGGCTTAGGCGGAAACAAGAGTGTCGAAATGTTCGTCTGCGGGCAAATACGGTGAACGCTACCGAAAAATCGCTACCTTTTTAACTACAAAAAGTGTGGAAATTCGTCGAATATTTCCCGTAGAAAAACACGAAATCGTCCCGTAGGAGGGATGTGAAGACGTAAATGTACGGTAACGAAATTCGTTTACTTTAAATTACGCTGCGGAGTTTTTATCGGAAGAAAGGAGGTGGACTTGACTCAATTAAAAAGTAGGAAAAGTTTATTTGGAGTGGATGAGAAATTAGGCACGTGCGTGGAAATATGCCGATATTATCATTAATTACGGGTCGGGCGGTTTATTAGTTGCGCCGTTTTCTGCCTTCCATCTTTATGCCAGCTGTTCGTAATTTGGCATCGGACGGATTGGGTTTGTTTCATTCTGTGTCTGGTCTCGGCAGGTCGATGTTAAACGTATTCAAGTTTTCTGCTCACGCATCGTCTTTACGTCCTCTTTTCTTGCAACGACCTAACCTCAAACTGCTTTAGTTCTTTTTTTACCTCCACTTCTCGCTATCGTAATAAAGAGGATGCAAAGTAGTAGCGCCAGCCGGAAGGGTTGTTTCGGGCTTTGGCTCTTCAGGTGAGAGAAGAGCCGCGGCGCAGTGTTTTCAGCTGCGAGCCACCCGTTGTTTTATAAGCCAATAAAACAAGACTGGTACATCCATTTCGCTAGCACCATCCCCTTTTCCATTTACGCCCTTCCCCGCTGACGACGATAAAACAAGTCGCATTTGCGCTCCTCGATGTCGTCCTTTTCGTAATGGAGAGAAAGACGTTGATGGGAAACGAACGCCGGTGAGGTGGGGAAGGCAAAAAAAAAAGAAGAGATTTGTACGGCGAAGGCTTTTAGCAAGCCAGTTGTGCCAGCTTTAATGACACCTTGGCGGTAAGTGGTAGGCTAAACGCGGACCCGGTTCGATCCTACTAGGTAAGAGCCTCTGGCAGAACATTACGGTGTGATGGCCTCTTTATCTTATTACCCGAAAAGGGACGCATTAACGAACGCCACCCGTGCTTTTAGACCCACTTTCACCTTCAACCTCCAGGGAAAACGGTAAAGGCCCGGGTGGCGCGCGCGCGTGAGGAAACCGCGCTTCCATCAGTTATCTTTTTTCGCTTTTTCTCCATACCGGGTCGGATGTTTTATCCATAACATTTTCTCGGACTTTTCCCCTCATGTAACATTACACTCCCTAGCGAGTTCGAATCCTTTTACCATTTGTATTTGCGAATTGCAAAATAGTGTATTCCCTACTCTGGGATTGCCGGTGTTATTCTGTTCCGCACACGTTGGTTTCTTATAATAGGATTCCGCAACGACCGGGATAATATGGCACGGGCTGATAGTTTGTGTAACGATGTGCCAAAAACGTGCATTAAGGAAAATTAAGATGCATAGATGATGCATCGGTGAATAGACTGCGCCGCTAGATAATTGAAGTGCGGATGGTTACATTTTGTGCTGCACTCGATTAAAATCTCGCTATGTTTTCTATAGCGATTAATTAAATGCGCTGCCGAAGGGAGGGTTGTAACACTTGAGTCACTCTCCTCACTTCTGGACGTGACAGGAGCCGTCCGTCAGGTCATCCTGTTATTTACTTTCTGCTGGGAGGAGGACTAGATCCAGTCAGAGTGGCGGACGAGATAACGATAGTCACACGAGACCAACGATTCATTGAAGGGGATGAGATTCGAAAACAGTCATTCGCTTCAATCCCCTCTTCACTGCTAGGTTTCGGCGCTTTGTAAGCGTGTTCGGCGCATTCTCCGGCAAAAACCTTATTACCCCCCTCAGCCCTGTTTGTCCCGTTCTCAATAAGCCCTTCCCGTTTCTCCCGTTCGTGATAGCTTTACGGTTCGCTAGACCGAGCTGCGATGCAAGAGAAGAGAGAGAGAGGGGGATAAGCGGCGAGACGTATAATGGACGTCCGAAGTGGCCGAGGCATTATTTTTCCATTGGTCGGAAACGCGACAGCAACTCAATTTACGGTGAGACTGTATATAACCCGAAATAATCCTCCTCCTTCGGACTGGACATAAATCGCTCGGATTTTCTTGTCCCGCTCTCTGCCTGCCTTTTACCTTCATCGATCGATTGCACTTGGAAAGATCTCTCTCCCGTTTTTCCACGTCTCCTTTCTCCGCCAATATTCCGTCCCGACAACTCACTAAAGTCCGAACGAGCGCAACGCGTTTACCTACATTGATTTCGCATCCCGTTTGAAGCGGCGCTAGACGTCACGCTATTTCTCTCCAAAAAACATTCTTCCACAACTAATTTACATTAAATGTTATATAGGATATTTAAGTGTTCCTTCTTTTTTTTCCAATAGCTAACACTACTAAAAACCGAAACACATTCCGGCACTTAATTCTCTTTCAAACATTAAATTTTAAGTTTAAAAATTATTTTTTGATACCATACAATCGATATTAGCCGAATTCTCTATTCGGCTTCGCTCCAAATCTATCGAATTCACCCGATATATCATCCGCGCGGAATGAAATGTTCGTTTGTACCCTTTTCATTACAGAACTTTGCTATATGGAAGTTTCGTGTCATTTATCCACTCGTGCCCTCTCATCTGACAGGATTCTCATTTGCCTGTAAAATCCTCCATTCTCGTCCACCTGGTAATGACCGCTTATCTTCCATGACATCGCTCGTAGATGGTGCACTAGAAGCTAAATCCTCATCGATGGATACAGTAATCCCATCCCCATCACATGACTAATCCCGATGTTTACACCAGCTGCTACGAACAGGTGACGGTGTTAGCGCGAGACCTGTCATATCCACAAACAGTCTCACCGAGAACCATCACTTTCATAATGGTCGGGGCGCTTTACACCATCGTTGTAAGTGTGCGCCATATCAAGTTTTGTCAGGGGAACAACTTATTACTAATCTCCTGTAATTTTCTCTTACTTTGCTCGATTCCTTTTTCCCGTTCGAAATACATCGGTTATAAAAAAAATAGAGAAAAAGAATATTTTAGAAGATCCAAAGAAGAAAAGGTTACTGTTAAAAGAGAACGAGAATGAAAAATGTGTGGTTTATATATAAAATACATTATTATTTTTAATTAATACCAACTACTATAAAGTATACGAATGTACTGTACAATATAATGGTAATTTTAACAATGAATATACTACTGTGAAGTATAGAATATTGTATAATGCCTTAATTCATATGTATGTCGTTTAGTTGTCTATCCGTTGATTTAGGGAGGGAGAAATATATTAAGTCTAGGAAAATGAAATCCATCAGTTAAGCTTTCCAAATGAATTATACTAATTTTGCAGAATTAGATTTTATAATATGTAAATCCAAGCGTATTCAGATTTCTGGACGAAAGTTTTTGGCATATAATTATTAATTGCGCCATATTAATTGCAGGAAACAAAAAAAAAGTTTCGTCACGTAGTAGTAAAACATACTCTAAATTGCCTTGTCTCTTTAAGGAAATGTATGTAAACTATTTTTGGAAAATATAAATTACGATAAAATCTTTCTTTTCTGTAAAAAAAAAGAGGGAAAACATGAAGGAAAAAATTATTTTAAATAGCAAAGATCACGCAAATTACTAAGGAATGCAACATGAAATGGAAATTGAATTACTTCCTTGAAATTTGATTTCAAAATTTAATACATAAACTTTTGTTTCATAAAAGATTAAAAATACTTTCTTGTATTTTTAAATAATAAAAATATAATTAAATATTATTAAACGTATTTTATTTTCTTCCTTTTAACATTTTGACGTTTAAATAAAATTTTAGCTATTTTTTTTTAAAGAAAAAATAAATAAATCCGAAAGGGAATGCTTATTATAAGAACAATTGAAGCAGTGATTTTGGTGAGCAAAATTGAATTGTCCACGTGGAAAAAACGGAAATGGAGCAATAATTACTTGACTAAAGTCCGAGGAAAAAATATCTAGGATCCAATTAAGAACAAATTTAATTGACAATTCAGAAATTCAGATAAAAGACTAATGAACAGGAAGGTTCCGCACACGTTGGTTTCTTATAATAGGATTCCGCAACGACCGGGATAATATGGCACGGGCTGATAGTTTGTGTAACGATGTGCCAAAAACGTGCATTAAGGAAAATTAAGATGCATAGATGATGCATCGGTGNGATTGTATATATATATATATATATATATATATATTTGTCTATATTTTTACTTTATTCAGAATTTTATTTTTATTTTTCTTCCAAATTTTTGTATTTCCTGTATTTCAAACGCTTGCATTTTTCTCGTTTGTTTAATTGTTCATCTTATTACCTTTTTAGATCTTTAATTTTATTATTTTCATATATTTTGATCTGCAATTTTTCACGTTTTTTTTTTTTTTGTTTTTAGAATGTAGTTACGTATTTATTATTTACATCGTAAACCTTGCTGTTTCTCTTTACAATCGCTGAAAGAAATTATTTGAAAATGTAAAGATGCATCATTTTGTCTGAAAGCTCTCTAACAGCAAATATGAATTTTATTCGTTTCAATATTGTTGAACCATTTGGCAGCTGTTTACATATATTTTTTTGTTGTTATTGAACGTATGATATAATTCATTGTTTCATTTCTGTAGGATTTTTTTAAAATTTATCTTTCTTCGCTACATTAAGATCTGATAATTGATAAAATAAAGAAAAAAAATGTTTTGTTTGGAGTTTACTCTCGTGTATCGGTTTGTAATCGTTCTGGGAAGTAGAGTCAAAATGAACCATTTTCCGTAATGATCAGTCAGATGAAGCTGTGTCAATTAACAGACAACAAGTTTGAATACGTTAAAATAATAAGATTAAGATTTGTTTTCTTCTTTATTGTTTTCATTTATTTAGTTTTCTTTATTGCAGAAGGCATGGAAATGAAGAGTGACGTCACACACCACGTGGCAAAAGCGCCTAATCTGGGAAAGGCTGACGCCATAGGCCACTTCGACTGTTCAGGATGTCGAAAACCGATTCGAGAACGTTACCTGTTGAAGGCTTTGGATCAGTTCTGGCACGAAGACTGCTTGAAATGTGCCTGTTGCGACTGCAGATTGGGAGAAGTGGGTAGCACACTCTTCACCAAAGCCAATCTCATTCTCTGCAAAAGAGACTATCTAAGGTGAGTGCAGTTTGGACAGATAAAACTAGAACTCCGCTTAATGACATGATTTCCTACACTAAATGAACCAACGGTTGCGGATGTGGAGCCATTTCCCATTCCGCACGTGCAGTTTCCTGTATTCGTGACTGTCTGGTCTTGCAACTATATCTGTCTTTCCTTAACTGCCTACGCACCCGTTTCTGTTTTGATGAGGACTCAAACAGTATTTTTTCTTTACTATATATCCATTAGGTTGTTCGGGACTACCGGTTTGTGTTCTGCTTGCAACAAAACCATTCCTGCTTTCGAGATGGTGATGAGAGCTCGAGGAAATGTCTATCATTTAGAGTGCTTTGCCTGTCAGCAATGTAATCACAGGTAAGAATTATTAGGATTTAAATATGTATATATCTATTTATTAATCATCTGTTTTAACTTAAAAAAGCATTTGATTAATTTTCATTGCAAATAAATAAGAACCAAATTATATATGAACAGCTGAAATATCAATAACTAAATTCAAAACGAATTTAGTTATTGATATTTCAGCTGTTCTCTTTATTTTATTTATTGGAGTCAATTACTCTATCATCATTAATTTCATTTTATATTATAAGAATATTTCAATTTCAAATAGTTTTTCAACGTCATGTAAACAAAGCATGAACGAATTAAGGAAATTCTGCTAATCTTAAATGTATAGAATTTAACATAGTTTTAGTCAAATTCAGTATAGTTCTGTGATCTAGTTCTACTTTGATAAAACTGAAAAATTCAAAGCACAGAGGAAGGCAAAGTTCTACAAGTTTCATTCTTTTTCAGGTTCTGCGTAGGCGATAGATTCTACTTATACGACAACAGTATACTATGTGAATACGACTATGAAGAGAGAATTTTATTCTCCCATCCTCCCTACACATACAACAGCCTAGATCATCTGCAAAGACAAATGGACAATCTGACTCCAATGCATCACGATGATGCATCTAGCGGATACGGCAGTCCCAGTTCATTGCTCAGCGAAGGCAAGTAAGAGCTCCTAATTTAAGGACATAAACTCTACAAAAAGCTCCAAGCATGCTGCCATCATGCGGATGTTAGCCGTACTAAAAACTGTGTACAGGTACGCACAAGGTGATTCTTCACTGTGGGTGACTCACATCTCCCTTCCCTATTGTATGAATTGCACCTGTTGTACAGAAAGTTTGGTGTAAAGGTGGTTTTTATTGTACGCGTCATTAACGCGACGTTAAGGTCATTGACGTTGGTGGACTTTTTTAAAGTTCTTTTCTCGATGCAGCTTTGGAGAAAAACGGCCGCGAATGCCGCTGACCTCTATCTTTGATCTTGACGACGCGTCAGCGACGCGCCCAAGTAAAACAATCATAAACGCATGATACGTGTAGATATTTCGAAATTAAAAAAAAAAAAAACATCGTTCCAATTTTTTAGCCTGTTTAATTTGTGAAGTTTGTGGAAAGTCGCCATTTTAATTGATAAGGAAGAGGCAAAAGTCGAATCAACTCTAATGCCGTATGCCCCCAGGCCATAGTAACCATCAGATAGGAAGATGATTGACGACTGGGATGTGGAGCGTGTCGAAACCCCAACCAGGTAGACAGGGTGGTCTTGGCAGGTAGAGAGCCCTCCAGTGGATGAAGCGCCAGTACGCTTATCTCTGTCAGCTTGAGGAAATGAGTCGTGAAAGTTGCCGGCTCCTCTTCCTTTCTGAAGTCTGTTATGGAGGATTTTTAACGCTCGGAACATTATATCACCGAAGTTAAAATCAGACTTTTCCTTCTCCCATTGGTGATTTTAGTCGTTCTTTTCTCCTACAGGAGGTGGCGGGGAGCGGAATAGGGGGAAGTTTCTTCGCTTGGTCGAAAATCCCGTCAACGCGTGCCTAATTGAAAACGTCTCGCGCCTGGTGTAACGCTGATAACGGATGCCAGGCTCGTCACTTGTCGTCTACCTCGTCTGCTTCGAGTCGTCTGAATAGTTCCGATTGGATGGCACGTGGCGCGAGATGAAACGGGTCACCAGGCGGAGTAATATCGTGATTCATTCCTGCCGTATTTTGAAGGGAGTCACTCCAGATCAAAAGGAATTGAAAGATGCGATTTTTTAATGTTTTGGTGGGCGCTGCCTGACTAACACAGTTGAAGCATTCTATTAAGAATAGCGGTGGTAACGGTAATTTTAGCTATTCGCTTAAAATTTTATCTCGGACTTTAGACATTATTGTTATTTAAGAGACAGGATGATCAGCATCACTAGCGATTTGCTTGGCGAATTTTGCTCATATATCGAAATTAAACGTAGTTATTATCTATCGTTCAGCCATAAAATTAAATATAATTTAATTCATCCATCTTGATACGTGAGTGACGTCACTCCATTATCCGCCAAGCGGCCAGGCCGGTAACTAAACCCATCGATTCCATCTGTTCATAAACTATAGCGGGGCGAATCAACTTTCCACCCCTCACCCCAAATAGAAGGAGATGAAAGATTAATTAATACAGTTTGGTTTTAAACCTTTGGCAGCTGGCACCAGCAGAAGATGCCTAATTAAGCCTAGATTAATAGGCCTAAGCGCAATGCACTTTCATCTCCCTCCTACCACCCATCTAATCATTATGAACTTCATAGCAAACAACGTGGCTGGCACTCGGGTTATTGGCAATGGAGTGAGTGAGACACCTCGTAGACGTCCACCCTAATTAGCCTGTTAATTAATACAGCCCAGTCTACTGTTGACACCCTTAAGCCTTGGTCGCTCCTTAGACACCTCGCTTGTATACATGACGTTTAATCTGATGAACGCTTTCCAATATTGTAGTTGGAGGGGAATATGTATAGATGAACGCAGAATGGAACTTTTGATACCCCCCTTCGTCTGCCAATTGAATATGACGCTTTAATAGCGGGTTTTGTAGGTATGGATTTAATTAAGAACGGTGCCGTGTCTCCGGGAGATGCGGGTAGAGTTGATCTGATCTCTGTGCAGACCTACTTCCATCAAGTCTTGGATTACCTCCTAGGGACACCTGAGGTGAGATAGGACACAATTTGTTTCCTATCTCTGTTCCGTTATCTGTTTTTTTGCTTCCAGGTGTTTTACCTGTGATATACTAAAGTATGTGGGATATACAGCATGCGGGACGGGATATACTCGACAATAAATGAAGTTTTTTCGGGAATTTGTTACTGATAATGATCTTGCCTCTCAACTTAAAAAGATTTGCTCTCTGTCAGTTTTTTTAAGGAGTGATATAAAGTTAAAAAATAATTGCTTAGTTTAAAGAGTATTTAAATTAAACAGTAGCTTTTCGGAGTTGTTATATATCATTTTCTTATTTTAACGCCATGCAATTGTGCACGCTCAGTTATACAGAATGGAAATTTGTTATATGCGATTTCATTCTTTTTAAACAACTTTGTCAATCTAGCAAGATTTAATACAACTGCAAAGATGTTTTATAATAATATAGCTGCGAAAGAAAATTGACTTTTTTAAAAGAGAGAAAGAGCTGTTAGCCCAATTTAATTAAACATAAAATATCTGAGTTACGAATCAATAGTGTGAATACCTATAAACCCCCTGCTAGCGGGATTTTTGCCTGCCAGACCTTTATGTAAATAGATGGAGGTCCAGGTAAGAGTTTACTGTCGTCCGCGAGTGGATAGGAAATTATCCAGAAGGTTTAGCCAGGAAATGAGATGAAAATAAAGGCGCCCGAAGCTTGCTGAGTCTCATCAAAAAACCATTAAGAAACCGTTAAGCATGATATCTCACACGACTGGTCGACGCCCTAGGCAAACCAGATGGAAGGGATGGGTTGTCAGAATGAGAAAAACTGCCTGGGGACGCTCGGATAAAGAAGAGCCTAATTCAGTGAAGTTTTGGATCATGCACCCGAGTAACTAGAGGGTTTACTTTTCCCAATTAAGGCGGTGAGGTAGCGATAGATCCACTCACTCATTCTCCGAATGTGCACTCAGCTGTTTTTTCCCTCCTCTACCTCAAACTGCAATGGCAAATTAGCGATAGGGATATTAAGCAACGAATAAAGCAGAAATTAAATTCAAGCATTTCTTAATAACATACAATGAGATTAGATATTTTTGCCTCTTTTCCCCCAAGACTCCCGCTGCCGTGCGACAAACATGCTTTAATTACTAGATGTTGTTTTGTTGCGCTTGCGCCAGCGCTAATTAGCTCGGAAGGCGGTGTCGTTCGACATTTTGTTGATTTTCGTCAGTAGAATATTAATTGGAAAAAAAGACGAGTTGTATGTTTTAAAAATAGAGATAATGTGGCGGAATTAAAGAAAGAAAATTTCTGTTTCATTTTTTTCTCTTTCTTTTTTCCGTGTGAAGAGATGGTAAATTGTTTCGCAATTTCCAGGAATCAAATTAAATTTAACCACCGCATCCAGTCGATAGGATATTTGTTTAGAGTTTCTGGGAGAATTCTCTTTATACAATCACTGGGGGAATGAGAATTTTTATTCAGGAAAAAAAGAGTAATAATCTAGAGACAGAGTTGAGAAGAGGGGGGAAACATGATTTTCTGCACGAATGACAGTGGAGGTTACAAACGGATCGTCCATTTTTTTTATTCTGGTTAGAAACGAGACAAAAAGTGGTATTCCTATTTGCCTGTTACGCCATATAATCTGGTGGATCCCTTCCACTTTAGATTTTCTGGATAAAGCGCAGAACTGGTTTTTATATCTCCTTTATTCGGGCCATCACTTGACAGACTGAATCGATCTTTAATTTATTTCCACATCATAAATCTGGATTTTAATTTTTATCCTTAGAATTTAATAATTTTTGAAGATTAAAATATGAATTTCTTATTTAAAAAAGGGATAAAATCGAAAAGAAATTGCGATAAATTGACTATAATAATTTATAATTAATTAATTTTAAAAAATAATAATAAATTCCGTTATTTTTATTATTTAAAATCATTATTAGAATTTGTAAATAGCCTATATACTTTTAAAAAATAATTGTTTTACTTCATTATTATTTTTATTAATTTAATGAATAATTTTTATATTAATTTAAAAACTCATTTTATAATTTTTGGATAAGTTGAAAGAAAATTTTTATCAATTTTAGATGAATTTATTTCTAAAAATTAAAGAAAATTTAATTATATCAATAAACTTAATGTATTACTGAAAAATATATCTGAAGTTCTATAAGCGATAAATTTAATTAATTTAAAATATATGTATATAAAATTATATTATTTTAATTTTAAGTATTTAAAAAAACGCACTCGAATTTGAACTAATTTGCATAAGAAAAAGTTCTACTTTAGACAATTTGAAAAAGCATTTTTGGAAAATGGGTTGGTTCCGTTAAGTGCGAAATTTTGTTTTACGATCGAAAGATGAAAATTCTCTTGATAGATTTTTTAGCAGCGAAATGACATTTCGAACTTGACAAATTGTGAAATCTAAAAATGTCTTTTTAGGTCGAAGCGGGATATAACAGACGAAAAGAAAGCTCATTTTTGCCCATCGATTTAGTTATAAAAAATGATAGTAAGATATTTTCATCAAAATAATTTGAAAAATATTCTTGCCTATAAGAAATGTCTCAGTTACGCATCCCTGTCAAATAATAATATCATGTAAAATTACAGGATTTAAATCTATTTTCTTAAATATCAAGCTCCGATATATCTTCACCCACATTTGTTTTCTTAATTTAAAATATATAAAAGCAGATTGGGAAGTGATATATATATATATATATATATTTTATTATCAGATTCTTTCATTCATAATCGATATAACGACGTCACTTCCGTGGTATTTTTCTTCTTCTATTTTTAATCCATTCACTTAAAGAATTTGGCGAATCATAAAATGTGCTCTTCTCGACCACATTCTTGCTAAATCATTCCATTAACGCTCCCGTCACGCTCAGGTGTATATCGAAAGATGCGACAACTCATCCCACCCTTCTAGAAAGCAGTTGTCGTGTAGGCTGTCACCCGGAGTCTTGTCTCAGTAAATCGTCGTC